TAAAACAGGTAGCACGCGGCCCAAAACAACTGCACCGTAAACCAAAAACACACAAAAACAACTAACAAAGAGAAAAGCCAAGAAAAGAGAAAAAAGATTCACTCACAGAATCCAAACGCACTCACACCACTCAGTCCACACGCTCACCCCCAACAATCACACCGGAAGTGAGAGAGAGAGAGAGAGAGAGAGAGAGAGAAAGAGGGAGAGAGAGAGGGAGATACACACAGAGAGAGGGAGAGAGACAGAGAGAGAGAGAGGGAGAGAGACAGAGACAGAGGGAGAGAGACAGAGAGAGGGAGAGAGACAGAGAGAGAGAGACAGAGAGAGAGAGACAGAGACAGAGGGAGAGAGAGAGGGAGATAGAGAGAGAAATCTCACCTTATTACCACAGCACTGTTGAGTTCTGGACTCTGATTGGTCGTCAGGTGTTGATTAATTCTCTCTAACAGCAGCTCTGACAGTAGTGCAGGTTTATATTAATGCGCTCGCTCTAATACGTTACCGTTACTATAGTAACGGCTCATTCACAGGGACGTGTACAGCGACGCTTCGCATAAGCTTATATATTAAATATAGTGTACATGTGAGTGCCGATGTTCGTATGTAAAAAGCACCGTGTGTGTGTGTGTGTGTGTGTGTGTGTGTGTGTGTGTGTGTGTGTGTGTGTGTGTGTGTGTGTGTGTGTGTGTGTGTGTGCGTGTGTGTGTGTGTGTGTGTGTGTGTGTGTGTGTGTGTGTGTGTGTGTGAGTGTGTGTGTCTTACGTCGTCTTTCTCTGTACGGTAAGGGTTAATGAAGTCTGGAGATTTCTCCGTGATTCCCAGCTCCTGAGACATCTGCAAAGAGAGATTAGATCTGAAACAGGACTTCCAGCGCTGATGTGTTTTGAAAGGCGCTCTTTGATGACATCATCATTTATTCCAAAGCAACTCAGAACACACACGCACCAGAGTGAGGACTTGCTGGTGACTGCCTCCGTTAAACACTCCGGACTGGTTACAGAAGCTCAGCCCCCAGCGCAGCGTCTTCCCCCACTCCGCGTTACGGTCGTAGTAGTGATGGACGATACGCGGGAAACGCAGAGCTACGTCACCGAAGAACGCGGTGTTCTCCACCACGTGGGAGTACGCTGCACAAACAACGAGAGACGTGATCCCAGTGCGAGAGAGAAGCTGTGCAAAACCACCACACGCCATCGTTATACATCACTCTCACACGTTTCAGTAGATGAGGAGAAACTCACCTTCTTTAATTTTATCATCCAGAGGAAACGGATCATCTGGCTGCAGATTAGCAGCTACAAGAACAGCTCTGGAGTCCTCTAGGACCTACACACACACACGCACGCACGCGCGCGCGCGCACGCACGCACACACATGCACGCACGCACACACGCACGCGCACACGCACGCGCACACACACACACAGGTCAGGACAGAGACTTCTGAGGCCAGTGCTCACAACAATAACACCTCCTCGCCCTACCTCATAGCGCCTCGCGCCTCCTCGCCCTACCTCATAGCGCCTCGCGCCTCCTCGCCCTACCTCATAGCGCCTCGCGCCTCCTCGCCCTACCTCATAGCGCCTCGCGCCTCCTCGCCCTACCTCATAGCGCCTCGCGCCTCCTCGCCCTACCTCAGAGCGCCTCGCGCCTCCTCGCCCTACCTCATAGCGCCTCACGCCTCCTCGCCCTACCTCAGAGCGCCTCGCGTCTCCTCGCCCTACCTCATAATGCCTCACGCCTCCTCGCCCTACCTCATAGCGCCTCACGTCTCCTCGCCCTACATCACCTCACACTGCCTCAGCCTGTCTCACACTACCTCGACCTGTCTTGTACTGCTTCACATTGACTGGTCTCGTCTTATCTTGCCTCATGCCGTGCCTCACACCACCTCACCCTGCCTCACACAACCTCAGATCATCTCATCCTACTTTACTCTGCTTACACTGCCTCACACAATATAAACACATTTCAGGTAAAAAAGTGAAAGAGAGAGAGAGAAAACAAAAAAGAAACAAACAGCTTTAGGGATGGAGAGATGAAATGAAAGGATGAGATGGAGGACCAAGACGGAGGGATGAGAGGCAGGGACGAGAGGAGTGCAGTACCTTGAAGAGCCCTTTCAGCATGATGTCGATGATTTTGTACTGCTGATTAACATCGTTCAGATCCACCAGATTCTTCAGCGCGTTCAGCTGATCCTTTCTCTTCACCTCGAACAGACGCTTATCTAACACACACTTAGGAAAATAACACACACTCCAATATCATCCTCACGCACGCACACACACACACACACACACACACACACACACACACAGCAGGATACAGATCTCCAGGTTGGAGTCGAGTCCGTGTCGGGGTGTGTGTGTGTTGGAGTTTGTGGAACACACAGCACTGAATGCTGCCATCAGCAGCACAGCACACACACTCAGCATGGCCAGCAGGGTGCGACACACACTCTGTAATCCACCTGTAACACACACACACACACACACAGGTAGAGATCACACTGATGGAGGTAAGGAGACAGGGCAGGTTTATACTTCAGCGAGAGAGAGAGAGAGAGAGAGAGAGAGAGAGAGAGAGAGAGGGATTACAGACAGCTCCTATCATTTTCCTGAATTTACATGCAGTCAGGTTTCTGTTTCACGCTGCAGATTACTTTTACAGTACGATATGAAGAATCTAACAAAGACTGGAGAAGGAACAGATACGGCTGAACATCAGTCAGTTACTCCATCACACTCTGGTGTTCCTCTGAGGTTCCTTTCGGGATTATGACACAAATTCAACCGCCACTTATAAACCACTTGGTGGAAACACTTTAACACATAAACACATCTATATATTCAATATAATCCTCTAACATTTTCAACATATATATCTATTTTTAGTCATTAAACTCTCAGCATATTACTTCATTGTTAAAATACAGAGCTCCGATGTGAAGGTT